TTTCACCCCAAAAAACGACACACCCCTAGTAGCTGATGCGTCTTCCGGCAGGTCACAGATGAGCCGGGAGAGAGCCGCTGGGATCATGACAGCTTCAGCTGCTTGAATCCCAACCGCTTCGCTGCTCGGCCGGAATGGCCCCCGCCCTCGGCCTGTTTGCTAACAGGTCTATGGCGCCTAAGCTCCTCTATGGATCGATCCGGGTTGACCATTGAAGCTATACATATATATATATATATGTGTTTAAGGGCCGAAATCTGGAGTGGGCTAGAAAGTAAAAGGGAAACCAAGCGGAGGAAACCGCGGGTATTTTGGCACATGCCCACTGGTTTGGGAATTTGTTTATCCAAACAGAAGGTGCTCGGCTGTTGCCATGGGAGAGTTGGGGATGGTTAGCCCTCGACGCGTGACTTTTCAGCGGGCAGGGAATCCACGGCGATTCCAGGGGCGTATTTCAGCTTCATTTTGGTTGCAAAGGCTACTTACGCTTGGCACATCTTGTTCATTCTCCAACTTCCCAACGAGAGCTCTTCTGACGCCAAATCTCAACTGCCTCCCTCTTGCCAGATCCGAAGTCATTTTTGCTTGGGGGCCTTCGCGCTCGGGTTCCACATCCCATGTGACTCAGGAGATCGAGCGGGGCTTGATGCAGCCGGGGCAGTGGACGGACGACACCTCAATGGCGCCTTGGGTTCGATGTGTTTCGAGTGGCTCTATCAGATATTTGTTTTTCCACCCCTTGGCGTTCTTTGTTTGAAGGACAACACGAAACTGAGTGAAGACATTGTTTCGGTTCGAAGGTTCGACATGGCTTATGTTTGTGCGCAGGCCCGGAAGCTGCCGGTCTTGCATGGAGTAGGTCGATGCGCTGAAAGCGCTCTAGCCAAGTTTCGGGATTTGAGGATTGCTGGACCACTGGCTCAAGAAACCAAGATGTGTGTGTGTGTGTGTTTGTTTTGGGCCAACATGGTGGTTATCCTTTGGTTTCCCTTTAAAAACCACAAAAAAGGGGGTAACCTCAGAAAAGGGGTGCACCCATATACAGGTCTACGATGCGGTTGTCCTCGTTTGCCGACTTCTCTTGACGAATGAGGCTGAGGTTTCGGGAGCCATGTCCTTTGAACGTCTTACTTGCTGAACGCAGTGGCCCAAGGATGTCGAAAGCAGACTTCGCAGTCTTTGTTTCACCCCCCGCCCCCCCACTTCCCTGAAGCCAAAGGTTCGTCCCCGAAGTCGCTTTAACGAGGCTGGCTCCTCCCATCCCGACGGGGGCGCTTTGAGTTTGGAGCATTTTGTTGGAGGGACCTGCTGAGTTCCATGAACACCTGCCTTGGCCGTTCCTGAATGACTATACTTCCAGACGTGCAAAGGCATGTGACGAGGCGTTGGAGTTCTGCATTTGATAATCTGGGTGAAATGGGGTCATACTCATACTTGCTCGCGATGTAGCGTCTATCTTGACCGATTAAAGCATCAAAGCTAGGGAGCTTTATGGCCGCTCTTGCCATCCCGACTGCCAGTGTTTTGCTGCAATTCGGTGATTCCATGGACCCGTGATTTGGCACGCAGTTCCTGACTTCAGTCACTTCCGCATCACGTCTCTGCCTTTTAATATTTCCTTAGACCACCCAACACCACCAAACGCAACCCAAGAAAACCAAAACCTTTGTCGTGGCTTTCCCTGCAAGCCCCGCCTTTCACGTTGCGGGACACGTGACAGGCGCTGTGTTTGGCGGACTCCCTGCTGCTTTGCGAAGGCCTGAATGGCTCCGACCTGCGGCTCCGCAGCTCGGACCCCGTTGGTGCCGTGTGTTTCTCTGAATTGGAACCCCGGATGAAGAACCCCCGGAGTCCGTTTGCTGAAACGTGCTGAAACGCATGTTTGTGATTTTCAAGCGCCTGTTGAAGTTTTTAAGCAGGATCTTCCGCATTTCCATGTTTTTTTGTTGTTGTTGTTTTTCTCCGGCGGGTGCACTCGCAAATGGTGAGTTTGACCCAATCTTCGCCATATGCGGAGAAGGATGACTCGCCAAAATCTCATGAAGGGGGACACAATGAATATTGACTGTGGCTCACCTACACATGCTCATTTGAGTCTTTGATGGTCGGCTGCGTTAATTTGGATTTAGTTCCAGATCCAAGTACCCTGTGATATCTGCTGATGAACTTAAGACATTGCGGGGGAGGGGGGCGGCCAAAATAAGGGCGTCAAAGTATCTTAAGAACATTTTGAGAAGTTACGAGGGCATCAAAGCAAGCATGGAACCTGAGCGAGGGTCCTTTCTTTAAGAAATGTTAACGCCTCCGGCTCAGGCCGCCGACATTACAGGCCTGCTTTCTTATTTGCGTCCCTTTGGAATTGTCCCCTTGCCCCCCTTCCCCTCTAAGATTTTTGCCCCCCTTTCCCTGTTAAGATTCATTCCCCCTTTCCCCCCTAAGGCCCTTTCTCCCTCTGAGATATTTTCCCTTTTCTTCCCTAAGATGTTTTCCCCCCTCTCCCTATTGAGATCCCTTCCCCCCTTTCCCCTCTAAGGCCTTTTCCTCCCTGAGATCTCCCTTTTCCTCCTTAAGATCTTTTCCCACCTTTCCCTATTGAGATCCTTTCCCCCCAAGAGCTAGCATGCAACATGAAACACAACCATTATACTCAGGGAGGCTTAGGGCAATCTTGAGTTGAAGGGGTCACTGGCTGAACAGTAAAGCCAGGAACAATGAGCCAAAACTAATAACCTTTTCACCTTGGATTAAATGGAAACCAAAAAGCAAGAAGAAGCCAGACTACCATTTCGCGGGGTGGCCTTATTTGCCACACACACACACACATGAGGGTCATAACGTCGGGCCTTATCCCTGCGGTATGATGTGGCACTACATGCTTTGTGGAGCAAGTGGATCGGATCCCTGCCCACCAATCAATGTTGGTCCCCCGGAACCACACCAAAACCGCAAGGCCAGATGCACAGCATTGGAATGGCCAGCCGGGCAAACATGGTGCAGACGATGTATACACCCAGCAAGATGCACACTCACGCAGCACATCCAATGGCCAGCTGCATTTGAATCAAGTTCTTGATTGCTCGGATCAGATTTATTGGTTTCGACGCATGGTGGGTGTGGACGCACGGCTGCTGAAATCTGAATGAGGATGCCTCCTCTCTTTGGCTTGTGGCCGAGAAAGCCAATTTATTATACGGGTGAAAGCATAGATAGTACGATTTCCTTTTTGTCGAGGGATAAAAACTGAAGATTGCGACCATCGGCTGAGCTGAGGCTTCTGGTGTTGGTACGGGGAGGCGCAGCACCGCCCCGTGGTTGTTTGGACCTTGGGATGATGATCAACCCACAAGGAGTTTGGGCCATGGCACATGTGGACTTATCGAGAAGAACAAGGCTTCAAAGCGGGTCTAGGGTCCACTATTGCGATTGCCTGGGAACAGCTGAGGTCTGCCACTTAGGTCGGGTCACTTGCTTGCGGGTAAATTTAGGGCAGGTCTGCCACGTTGATTCCTTGGGTCACTTACTTGTGGGAACACTAATTGAAAACTGGCACTTGGGTCGCTTGGAGCACTCACAACTGATTTCCTTTAGAACAAAAGGCTAGCGATGACAGGAGCTTAAATGCATCTTCCAAGGGCCACATGCATTGTTGTACCTGTCGGCCTCCGCTAGCTGCTAGACTAGTCCTCCGCCAGTCGTCCCAAGTAACCTAAGTGAATCAAGGGACCAAAGCGACAAAAGCGACACAAGCGACCCAAGTGACCCAAGTGAATCAAGGGACCCAAGTGACCCAAGCGACCCAAGCGACCCCAGTGAATCAAGGGATCCAAGTGGCCCAAGTGACCCACGTGAACTAAGGGACCCAAGTGAGCCAAGCCGACCCAAGCGACCCAAGTGACCCGAGTGAATTAAGCGACCCAAGTGAATTAAGGGACCCAAGCGACCCAAGCGTGACCCTTGAATCCTACTATGAGATACACAAGTACTCGGCTGTGGCAGCAGATTGGAAAGTCTGTGTCCCGAAAAGGACTTAGGGATACAGACTTTCTGGCTGTTGCAGCCGCCGCTGAGATGCAGTGAAAGCTTCAACTTGAGTGACTCGGGTCACTGGGTCACTTTCAGGCAAGGGGCGAGGGCCAGCTCAAAAACACCAAGTGCACAGAAGGTCGCGCGAGCGATTGCAAAAACAAGCCCAAGCTCTGCAGAGGGTCGCGCAAACAACTTGATAGTCGAAGAAACTGTGGCTGAGCAAGTCTGTGTTACCGCTAGACTCTGTTTGAGATACAGACTTTTCGGCCATCACGCCAGGTGGCAGTAGATGAAAACCTCTCCAAGTGATCCCATGGTCGGATGTACTTAATTTTCCCCACCCCCTGCATGGCCGAAATTGCGGGGACGTCCAAAAATGTAAGTTACATTTATTCACTTTTATTGAGAATGTAACTTGGCTGCGTTTCCGCTCTGACATATTGCACAGCTATCATGGGCTGAGACAGGTTGGGGTGTGCCGCCAGCATTTTTTCCGGGGAGGAGGAGTTAAGATCTGGCTTATCAGGAAGGACATTTCGGAAGCCCGTCAGGGAATGGGAGGACCCAAGGAGGAGAGAAGTGCACCTGCGAAACCGTAAGTTACATTTTCAGACGTCCCCCCCTTAAGGGGATTGGGATCTTAATTTAGCCCGCAGCCAAGTGACCCAAGCGGCGACATCCAAAATCCTTGCCCACTGCACGCTCGCTGCACCATGTTGAGAAAACCTCCCATGTGCCTCTATAACGATGTCCGAGAGAGTTTTGCAAAAGCCCCACGTTTATCGGAGAACATATTTCTTGCTCATAGGCATCACAGCGCACAGAATGTGGCAACCTCCCGATATTTTGAGGCATAATTTTTGCGCCTCGGCTCCAAGTCGAAGCTTCTAGGCATTGTAATGGTTTGAACGGTTCTGAAGCCATAGTGTCGTCATTTCAAAAGCCTTTGCTGATCTTCGGTGTGCCATGGCCAGGGCATGAACAACCCCTTCCGTCTCGACAAGGAGCGGAAGAAGCGGAAGAGCTTTGGCCTGGGTTACAACACAGCCACTTCGCCCGCAATCTGTCCACACTTGCTTGATCTGGCCGAATCGGGCGAGACATTTTACAAGCCTGATTCTCAATGCAACTGCATGGACATATTGTGGAGGCCTTGTTCATATGGCAGTTTCCCTTCCTCTGGCACCTTGAGACTAGACTTTTCAAAGCAGCAGACAAACAACATCAAACCTGCAAAAGGCAGGTCACCTGTCCATTGAATGTGGGCTGGGTAGGTTGAGAGGCGCTATCAGCAGAATGGCAGATTATGTATATATATATATATGGTAGCCCCCCCCAAAAAAAAAAAACACTACCATGTCCAGAAAGCACTGCCAAATGAAAGGGACAATAGAATACACATAAGCATGTGTTGTATGTTAAACACCTGGGCCCATTGAGTGGTGCAAGTTCAATTCGGAAATCAAGCAGTGAAACCAGATGTGGGAGAACAAACAATTATTTTAGCTTAGCGTTTCACCTCCTGCAAAGCACCCACCCGCGACAATTATGGCTATAAGTACGGTATACCATGCTTGCATCCAAGATATGCCAGTGCATGCCATGAATACATACAAGCATTTTTTTGCTTGGCAAATTATGACTATTATATTCCATGCTTGCATCCAAGATATGCTAGTACACGCCATGAACACATACAATAAATTACTTTGCTTACATGCTGCAGCTCGGCAGATTATGACAAATTGCATTGCTGGTCTTATACTAGAAACAACCGAAGAACTTTAGCTGAATTGTTAATAAGCTTTGTGAATGTGTTGGGGATCCACAGCATTTCGACAAGGCACATAATCCATAGTGTAATGTAAAGCCCCTATTTCCGAGAACTCCGCATTTCTCCGACAAAGCACTTTTACCGGCCTCATCCGCTTATTGCACACATGTTGCTAAGTCTTAAGTGTTACCACACATTTGCAGTGACATCCAAACCAGATTGTTTTGAATGCTGCTACATAGGGCTGAAGGGCATATCATATTTTATGCAATGCCCCGTTCAATAGCTGGAAAATGCAGTGCTTTGCGGGCTGAATGCCATGCTGGGCTGTATCAACCTGAGGGTCTCGCCACGTGTTTTATTTATTTGTGCATGAGTCCCATCCTAAACATAGTTTGAAGGTATGTAAGTAATCTTTTCTGGATGCTAGTTTCTGAAAGCTAGTATCACTATAATGAAAGTGGCGGTTGAGCTTACCCTAAGGGTCATGACCCCTCTGCAGAAATTCCGGGCCCGGTGGAGAACCCCGACAATCCATTTTGGTATCCACAAACAGTCGGGATTTGTGGGGTAGTGAGCATGCTTCAAGGGAGCGGTTTCTGTTCCCTATGAGCCCTTAGATCAACACGCACAGCACCGTTCATTCGCTTAGGAGGGGTTTGCTCTCTCGCCACGTTTGGCTTAGGCCAAAAGCCTCATGGCTCTCAAACCCGACCTGCCCATCGAGCCGGAGTACATCAACCCTGGGAGCAGCCGCCTGTCCAGCTTGCGGCCGAATCTGAAACGACTTTCGAACAGTTTCCTTGTGCAAAAGCCTGTAGTAATAGTCAATGCAAGCCAAATGTACCAGTTTGTTATGGAGTGCCAAAGTAAAGATAACGATGGCCGTTGAGCATCTAGGTACCCAAGCCCTGGTGCTTTCAGTCAGGAGATAAGCCTCGCGGGCTCCAGGCGACTGAGATCCAGGCACTTAAGAAGTAGCTGGTTGCATTTCCCGGATGTGTAAAAGCAGCTGATAGGCCTCCTCGGGCCACTGATTTACCTTTTACACAACCAAGATTTCTGCTGCTGCTCGCCATGTCTCTTCCCCAGCTGAAAGATTTGGGGTCGCTTCCCAAATATGCTCAGGAGTTCCGGGAGGGTTCCAGAGGCTTTCAGAAATTCTGCTGGACATCCCGCTTGGGCCAATTTGTGTTGGATAGGAGAAGCTTCTTGCGGCCAATTGTGATAGTTGGTAGGCCCTCAACCCGCCTGTCTCAGTGCTATAGGTCAGCCATGCGGAAATCGGAATGATTTTCAATGCGCTGGGGCGCTGTGAAGCACAAATCAAATTATCCACTTTAGTTTTGGCGTTACCTTTCGCATGTGCAGCATTGTGCCAGATACTGAGGCTATTCGAGCAAAGGTCCTTTGGTATTGTAAGCTCGTTAGGCACATTGAGATTGCTTGAATTTTGTGAGTCTTTGATTTCTAATCCGTTGCTCTATTATATGTTTCAATGAAAACTATTGACAAACCACGTGCTCCACTTTGAAGCAGTATGTCTGGCACTGAGTATCCCACAACAGTTGTTGCTGCATCTTCTCAGAAGGATAATGTGTTTCTATTGTTCAGAACCAATGATGAAATGCAAGCTAGATACTCGGCACAAGGCTCACTAGGCTCAGCTGGCAGTCATTTCTTTGGTCACCAGGCATTCCATCAAGTTCCATGTGCTCTGGGAAGGCCCTCAGCAACCTCAATTTCTCAACCGGAGAAAGAAGTCACCCGTTGAGAAGCCAGGATCTACAAGCATTACCAAACTTGTGGTTGGTGTGATGAAATGGCCGATGCAAGTGTGCAACTGATGCCTGCATTCGAAATGGACTGTCTTTTTCTAGCCTTCGTTGGTTGAAAGGGAAACCCAAAGGAAACCAACGCAGGTCCCATTTCGACAAAGCCATCCGCTTGCCAGCCGAGGCGACTCCGGCAACGGTGGGCTCATGCGCTTGGCTCCAGTCGGCCGGTGGCATGTTTCTGATATATGGGCTCGTCGATTTTTGGAGTTGCCCTTTTTGGGGAGTAAGGGGAAACCAGAAGGACATTTGAGCCCATTTGTTGCGCCATTTACTGTAGGGGGGTGCAGTTCCTAAAATTGGCACCCATATGCTGACTCAGAGCAGCAAGGGGAGCCATTGCAGGCTTTGACCAGTTCATCGGTGCCTGCATTGGGGTCACTTGGGGGTGAATGCACACAAATGTTGCCGACATGGTCTTGGGAAGGCAACACAACGGCAATCGAAGGGTTGTTTTGCAACACAGCGGCGGAGGCGCCAAATTTGGGCTGTTCCCTCGATTTTTCTTCCGCGGGTTTTGCCAGTTTGTTCTGCTGAGAGGGTATGACCAAGCAGGTGAGGTGTCAGCATTCAGTGAGGGCTTGTTGTTTGACTCTTTTTTTCTAGGAAGATAACTTCTTCCTAAACATGTACCAAAGGATAACCTCCTTTTTGGTGGGACTGCTTTTGGGGTGTGAGGCGTTGGCCCCATGTTCAGATTTCAGATTTCATTGATTTCGTTGCACTTCACCCGAAAAGTGGCTTCTCTCCAGATGCAAAATAGTGCAATTGAGTGGTTGTTCCTGCATTTCAAGACTCAGATTATGTTACTTTAGTCACTGCCAGAAAAGATGCCTTGATCGCTAAATGCATTTTGCTTCCGGACATATGCAAGGTTGCCCTGGGCGGGTGATAGCATGCGAGACGACCCTACAGTCCCACGCAGACTAGTCTTACCTCGGGGTGCGTGGACTGCTCTGGAGTCCCATGGGAGCATTGTGGGACGGTATGGACAGCTCTTTGTTCGGAGTTGGGGGGCTTTGTACTGTATGTGTGCGTGCAAATGCCTGGAGCTAGCAACATCACTATCCTCTCTTTCCAACGCATCCCAACGGACGGACTGCCAGGTGGCCATCTTCTACAACCTGCCAGAGCGGGTGGAGGAAACGCTGGATGCGGCTGCCAAGTCCAGCTTAGCCACCCACCCAGGCGCCTGGGCGTGTGAATTGTTGTGGCTATGGCCCTCAAGTCGGAGAGCAGACCATGCTGAGTCGAGGTTGTTGCTTGTTTTTCGCGTGGGGCAAAATCTTTGGGCATTTCATGTATCCGAAGGCAATGCACACTTGAACTCGTGAGCGATGAAATGACCTTGTGAAAAGAAGAATGCCATGCCTTTGGAAAGATTGTCCCTTCTGGGGCCATGTTTTCTGTTTCTGTACACTGTGCTGTGCTGTACACGCGCGCGCGGGTGTGTGTGTGTGTGTGTTTGGTGTTTGGGGGTACTCTTTTCCACCCTTTGTTGAGAGGGACATTCAGAGGAACACCACCACTTTTGGGTCCCCCTTTCTTGGACCCCCGGTATGTAAACCTGTGGGGTCTTTCAATCCCGCCAGGCGCGCTTGCAACGGAGACTGCCCGGTTTCTGGCCTTCCTCCTGCACGCCGCCATCAACCGAGCGGAGGATCCTAAAGCGCCCAGACACTCCCGCAGAACGTAAGACCGCGGGACCCCTTCTTGGGCTCTATGCACATGTTGCAGTGTACATTGCTATTTGGACCCCGGTGGTGTGGATAAGATGTGTATATATTTATGATAATATATATATGCTGTATATATATATATATATATGTTATGTGTGTATTGCGATGGAATCATGACCAGGCGTCCTTTGTTTATCAATATTGTGCAGTGGCAGCTCGCATCATCTCCAGGCTAGCCGTCATTCTCTATGCCCATGCCGCTTAAACCTTCTTGTCACGATGTAACATTTGCTGAGAGGAGGTCGACACTATGGACAGTCTTGGACTTGAGCAATCAGAGGCACCTGCCATCACGACATCCGCCACCCTAAAAACGTGGGTGGTGAACATCAATCTCCACCGAATTTTGATGTACGCCAAAGGGTCCCTTATTGAAATTCACGGCCACTTGCCATGAGCGGATCTATTGCCCCGAGAGCCCGCGTGTGGATCCAAAGCCGCAGGACGCCAGTGCCCGAGATTTCCTGGTTCAGTGTCTTGGCGAGTTCAGAAACGGAGACAGCGCTCTGAAGGGCTGATCCAGATGGCCCGAAAGAAAATTGGTTTGCATGGGCTCTGAAATCAGCAGCCATGCTGTTCAATTTCAATTCAGCTCTCAGACTGTCTGCAGAGCTAAGTTATGTATTGTGCTGTTCAAAGTGCTGGGCAACCCAGCTGAGTTCGCTGCACAGCACGGCACACTTAAGGCATCGCCTTTGGCCCGAACTTGAGGTGATTGCCCTTCGCAGATTTCAAAGCAGACTCTAGTCAGAATGTGCCCGAACTGGAGCACCTTCGTTGTTGTTGGTCCCGTCTTGGACTTGGCATTAAAAGGTTCACTGGACCATCAACTATTTTGGGCACTTTCAATGGTCTACAGATTTCCTTGCTGGTGCCATAGGTAGGGAATGAGTATTGGAATGCGCCGGTTTTGGGGATTCCCGAACAACGGGGCTCCAAATCGGTGGGAGGGTTTTCCTCGATTCGTATTCCAATTCTCATTCCCGGCCTCTCGCTGCGCGACTCCAGGAGCTCCGGCGCCTACGTGGTGCGCCTGGATCACCGCCTCAAAGCCACCGAGGACGAAGAGGTCCGAGCGGCGCTTTTGGAGCTGCGGGCCTTGGCGAGCTCCTCCAAGGCGATCCGATCAGTTGGATCACGTCCGAGCGGAGGAAAAGCCCTTTCTGGGCTCAGGTTACCCAGTTGCCCAGTGGCATCCGACCTTTTGTCTCCCTTTTTTTTGGAGGGGGTTCCCCTTTAAACTCCACTAACCAAAAAAGGATGCCCTTTTTTCCCATGGCCATTGGGCATCTGAGTTATGGGGGAACCCATAAGTTCTCAAATGTCCTCGAATGTTGGACCTTGCTTGGTGGGGGGGCCTCTTTCCCCAACAGTCAAACCAGTGCTCGGGGGTCCTGAATAGGGGTCTGGCAGGGAGCTGGGATGACTTAAGTATTGCTATAGTGTTGCAAGCGCTTTCTGTTGGATTGCCAGAACTTGGTTTGGCATTGCCTGGTCCGAGAAAAGCATTGCCTGTCTGTGTATAGCACTGCCAGGATTCACTTTCGGATTCCCAGTGCTTAGTTTAGTATTGCCTAGTCTCAATTTAGCATTGCAACGACTTACATTGCTTAGTTTAGTATTGCCTAGTTTAAAGTTTGTACTGCCAGGACTCACTTTTAGAGATCCCAGTACTTGGTTTCGGGAATTTAAAGAAGATCCCTAAGCAGCCTAAACAGTCACATTCAACAGGATCAGTGGCTCCCGTGGGCACCCCCCTTTGTGTTTTCTAAAGAAGTTACCACTTGCAAAATTGATTTCCTATCTTCAGGCCTTTCTCCTGCCCTTTGAGCGAACCGCCGTTGAAAAGTAAAGGCTCAGGCTTTGGTTTGGAAGCTGGAACTTAAAGAACCACCCAAAACAGTCACATTAAACAGAATCAGGGCCGCTTGTGGGCAACCTGTTTGTGTGACTGGCTGCCCTCAACTGTTTGTACTGAAGGTATTTTAAAATTGATGGTTTGGGTACCACTTCAAACAAGGAATTTCTAATGTTTGCCCGGTGATTTTTGCCCGATTTGGTTTGCCGCTTTTTCCCAGATTTGTTTTGCAATCGGCAAAACACACTTGACATGAATCATGGTACCAAAACATGGGGGGGGGGGTCGCGCTTAAGCCGAGGAAACTTGACATGCATCAGGGTGCCAGTATTAAACCAGGTGCGACGTTATAGGCCTGCACAAAACCGTGCTTTGTCGAAGCATGCTTTGTTTGGACGGGAGGGAATCCCCTTTAAAATCAACCATATACTTGTACCAAAGAAAGGGTGCTGCGTTGCCCCATCGCGAGAGCCTGCTTCACATTGCACCAACCCATCCGTCAAGACTGGGCCTTCCGGGAGGGGCTCCATGGGCATGGGGCGTGGTTGTTTTTTATCCAGTTTGTACCCGATCTATTGAAAATCGAGACAACGTTTGACTTTGTATTGAAAGCGTGCATGCATTCTTGGTCTCCCGGATGATTCAGCCTTCCTTGCACCTTTTATGTGAGGGCCTGGTTGGAAGTTTGAGCCAGTGATCCTCAGCGAGGCTCCCCATGCAAGGAGCCGGTCAGCAATTGCAGGGGTTACGTTAGGAAGTGAGGGATCCCCAGTAGTGGACAGCTCAATGACTCTGGCAAGTGTGAAGCCAAAGCTTGTTTACCAGGGTACATGTATGCTATGACTTCTTTGTTTTGAACAATCCCAGGCAAGACAATCATGGTTCGTTTGTTTGCGGTGCGTTGCTTGAACAAACAAATCGGAAACCAATGATTATGGGGACATTTAGATCCTTCGATGAATCCTCAGAACCATTATTGTTTTGGATGCTTCCCATGAGCCACTGATGGGAACGCCCACACCCTATGGATGGTTGGTTCTCAAAAAGCACGAAAAGCATAAAATTGGGCCCACCATTACTTTTGCTCTTTGACCTGCGGAATGTCCTACCAGCTGTAGATCTAACTAAGCAAATCTGGCCACTTGCGGACGGTTTGCCAGGAGGGAGATCTTGAGCGTTGCTGGAACTGGCAGCAGCCCAGTTTGGAGCTGCTTGCAACCTTCAGGCGAGATCGCTCGCGGCTTGCGCTGTTCAACCCAAAGCTGCTGTCTCCTTGTTTTTTGTTCCTTGAAAAAGATAGTTTTGATTAGTTTTTGTTTGCGATCGTTCGCTCAGCACCTGCAAATATCCGCGGGCTGGAGAAAGCAACTTGCTTTTCATCGAAGAACTTGTGTAGTTGGCTCGGCGAGATGTGACACTCGAGGTTCCACCGGGAGCAAGCAACAGCCTGGATCACCCCGGCTTGCTCTGGTTTTTGGTTTGTACCCCATTTCTTTTGTTTTGGCTCGGTTCTAATGGTTCCGTGTTGCTTGGGTCCACGTACAACAAGGCACTGCATGCATGGTTGGTTTGGGGATGGTGGACTCCTGCTTTGTTTGGGCCAGCAAAAGGCGGTGGCGCCAAAGATGTGCGAACCTTGCTGGTTCCTTTGTGCAAAGATAGGCGTTTTTGGATGAACTTTGGATCAACCAGTTCCTGCATTGGGCAAGGACCTCTTCTTTTCATGGGCGAGTGTCTCTGCAGGAGGGGCTGCTTGAATATCCCTGGGATAGCATGGACATACGCCTGATGCTCTTCATAGGGCACCCAGTCTTGCCCCAAGAGCCCATGAGCACGCTGTGTCTTCTGAAATTGCAGTGGTTCCGATGCTGTGTGCCATGCGGTCTCTAGTTCTCTGCAAATTTATCTTGCTGATCCTAGTTTATCTTGCTGATCTATGCTTCCATCTGGCATGTTTGCCAGTGGCAGTATGTGTTGCCAACGTCGGCTTGTCAGCGGCTCATGTCGCTCTCGTTGCACAGCTTGTGACTGAAGCGGTCGGAGCTCCTCCCCAGCTTCAAAATATCACGGGCTTCATCTCAAAACACGAGCCCCGTTTTTGCGCATCGAGCACACACAAGACCCTCAGGCTGGCTAAATGTGTATTGCCAAGGCGCACTTTGAGAATTCTTGAAGACTTGCTTGCGCTCAGCAGGGAATGAGGGAAGGACCCTTGTTAGGCATCCCTTGTGGTTTTCTTCAAGCGAATCTCCTTCCGCTTCATTCCCCACTGAGCATCAGCGAGACGGAGAATCGGAGTTCTTTCGATGTTTCAACGGGGCACAAGAGTTCTGTCTACTACGATTCACGTATCCCGCAAGTGGTGATTTGAATTGGTGGTTTGGGATGTGAACCCTGCGTTCTTGTGGAGGATAGTTGAGAAACCACGTCCCAGCCACCAAACCACCGGTCTCCAAACTGCCAGTTCGAGTGAAGCTGAACAATCCCCCAGGTGCCCAGTGGGTTGCTTCCTGTTGTCCTTTTTTTGGGAAGGGTTCCCCTTTAAAGTCAACCAACCAAACAAATCGGATGCCGCTTGTTTCCCATGAAAATCCACTGGGCATCTGGGATCCTGACCTTTCAATGCAACCTCAGAGCCGATCCAGTGCCAATCCAGGGCCCGGGGCGAGAAGTACAACGGCCATCCCGTGTCGCGGTGCTATGCTGGAAGCGGCTCGGTCCGCATGTCGCCTCTGAATGAAGCGGTCCAGGAGTTACAAGTTTACTCATTGATGTTGACTGCTTGTAGTAGATGTTGATGTTGACTGCTTGTAGTAGATGTTGATGTTGACTGCTTGTAGTAGATGTTCAGCTTCAGACTGGTCTGGTCAAACCTGGCTTTTGTTTGACCTTGCTCACTTTTCCCGTTTCATGGATCTCCCGTCCGTGGACAAACAACACAGCGTGATACAATCATAGAAACTATGATGTCATGAGCACAGCATGTTTTTGAAAGCTCCGGCTCAGTCGGGTGTCCGGACAATCGCCCGACTCTGCCAGAAGCACGACCTTGTAAGTTGCGGCTTGTTTATGGGCGAGGTGTTTTGCCAATGGCCGACAGAGAGATCCATTCATCTGGCTCCGAAGCTGAGGCTATTGCATGGATGGCTTGGTGCCGAGCTAAGAGCCGGGTGTGAAGAAAGGGCCAGACGCTAGGCTGCTGCTTGAGGAAACATAGCTGAATCTGCAAGCTTGCAAAGATGTCAACCATACCCTATCTTAGCGGTTGTGCCCTACACTTATATGACATTGTCATACATCATGTATATGATATGTGAGCAAGTGTCAATATATTATGCAATGTATTTGTTTTCAGCATACATACATTTATGCTTATATGCTGTATATTGTATATATGTATATGTGTCATGCCCTTTCAACTTATGGGCTGTTGGCATGTTGCTCATCATAGGCTTTGAGGAATTCGCTGACACCCTCGAGGCTCGATTCGCCCAGCCTTGTTTGGTTCACTTCTGCCTGATGGGACCTTCAGCGGTCGGGCAGATGTGAACGCTAAGCTCGTTGATGTGAGATCCCTCTGTACGCAATTCAAAACGCCGCTCGATGGTTCGACACGCCAACTGTTGAAATAACACATGCTTCAGACATTAAGGACATCCACAGGAGGTGCATGATTGGCTCCTACCAGTGCAGTCGGTTGGAGAGGGCACATGCGCTCCTCGCTATCATCTCAGATCTCCAGAACCAACCCTAAATCAACAGGAGCGCATGTTTCAAAGTGATTGGTCACTGCATGTGGTGTTCCTCTGGGTCGATTTTGGTGAGCATTGCTAATGCGTGTTCCTGTGCGAATAGGAGTAGGTGGCGGGATGGTACGGGAACAAATCGCCGCCGCATCGTAATCCAACGACTTCCCAAAATCCTGGACTCCTTGACTGGAACCCCTCATGCAGCCAATTCACATTGCCCAACTCCCGGATGAATCTCACTTCCCAACTTGGACTCAGTTCTTTGTTTGGTCGAATGCAGATGGACTCCCCATGAAGACTTCCCGCAATTGTTTTTCTCTTTTATTTGTTTCTTGTTTCTGACCACCTAATTCGGGAAATCTTCAGAGTTTGGACTTTGCTTTGTCCGAAAGTCGAGGCCATGGCGATGCATGCAGTGGCGACCACCGAGCCTGGGGCCCCGACAGAAGATGCGCGGGGTTAGCATGGCTTGTTATGGCTTATTTTCCGTTTGCGGCGGAAGTTTAAGAACATGTTCAGTTGGTTGAGAGTTCCGTCCGTCATACAGTTCCGGCACTTGCACGGGCGTTCGTTTTCTTGCACGCCACGATGTGTGTGGCGGGTCCCTTTTGTGAGTCATTTCTATGAGGTTCGGTCAAAACTACTGGTAGTCTATGGGCCTTTGGGAGGGACATGGGAGACCTGAATTTTCAGGGGGACCAGAGCTGCATCCGGGCAAGAACATTGCCAGGAAGTCATCACGGCCATAGACAAAACAGAAATCAATCAATATCTAAGCTCAAGAGACATGCTTTGGTTGGCCTTTGAAATCCCCAAAAGAATGGCTCTTAAATTTAGACAAACCTACAAGATAAACGGGGTCTTTCCAATGATTTGCCACCGACAATTTGGGACTCGCATGACACTATCCCAAGCAAATTGGGGTCTCTCCAAAGAAGACACCGAAACACCCTTCTACCAACAAATTCGGCATGGGGAGGTTGTACCATGGCCAACGTAGCTGGCAAGACTGACCTCACGCATGTGCTTTTGAGCCGGCAGTCTCATGCGAACCGATGTTTTGGAATCACATATTTGTTCCACGTCATGGTTGGCCATGTGTCGAGGAAGCACTTTAAGCAGATCATAGCAGATTCCCATTTGAACTGCAAGTTGCCATGCCATAGGCTATCGGGACGCAGTGCTCGTAGACGCAGCAGAGTGTTTGCTTTTCCCGACTTAGCTTTGTGAACCTTGGCAGTACTAAGTTGTCATATCCCCAACTAAATCCCTGATCGCCGGCACTCACTTCCTGTCCAACATCCATTGGATCACCCCAACTCCATCTCCACAACTGCCGGCATTGAACTCATGTCCCAAAGTCCATTGGCTCACCCCGACTCGCCCAACTCCCTCCAGCTGCTTCCACCGGGCCGTGGAGAAGGTGCCGGGGAGCAGTCGATCCGCCTCAGACGCCGGGGGAGTGGGTTTTGCCACGGTGCTCAAGACCCCACCCCCCCCAATTGGCGTTGGTCTTTTGGTCGAGGACTTGGAGGCTGGGGATTTGACAGTGCATGGAATGGGATTCTGCGAGAGATTCTGCTGGACAACCAGAGTGGCTGTGCGGTTTATGATATTCTTGCTCCCTTGTTATGCACACCTGGTAATTGCCCAAAACACAGCTGCCATATTTAGGCAAACCCTGCATGCCGGGCTGATCTGAGATAGCCAGTTTTGTGTTGTTGGTTTAGTTGGGAACCATGAAAAGTCACTCCCAAGTCAGGTTGGCAAATGCATTGGGGTGAATTCTCTCCAAAAAAGGTGACAGCCTAGGCGCATGTAGAGCGTGGGCAGCAGTGACTGTGGGGTCCAAAGGTGCGCATGGCTTTTCCTCCTGAGACGTTCTTATTCCCACATGGACACTTTCAAGTTCGGGCCGTCACTGGCTTGAGGATAATTGGTGGGGAGGCCTGCTTTTGACCAAGATGATAGGTATTCCGGTTCGGCAAATAGCAACCTCGCGGTCAAGAAAAATGCCCTTGATGAAAAAAGCAGCCCCCGGGAATCGGAAAAACTCAGCCCCCAGGTCCCTTTCTGCAAAAATGCACATGCAGCCAGAGTCGTCACTCGCTGGCGTTTGGCTCTGACTCGGGGAGCACCGGCGAGATCTCACCATATTTGCGAAAATTTGTGCCACTGACCTCGGACCGAACCGAGATATTACTGGGAAGTCTAAGGATGATGTGTCTTGCCAAACAGAATGCTTGGCCCACTTGCACCCAAAGGAGCTTGTCCAAGCGGGTCCTTTCCTCCCCCGGAGCTAAGGGCAAATGGCTGACCTCTGCATTGTTTCTGCCAGGCGGTCAACTTCTTGGGCGACGCAGATACCGTTGGCGCCATTGCAGGCTGTGGGAGATCAATTTCAGACTGTATCCAAGTTGGCAGCTCCAATCCAACGTATCTGCCCACTCCTCGGAAACATCCTGCAGCAGTCATCTATTGGTTTGTTCATAGGCACACACTAGCGTCCCTTTATGTTTAGTGCTTTGGTGCTACTTTAGCTGGATGCCATGAATGTCCTCTAGGAGTCTAGGAGTCTAGGCTTCCGGACAGCCAAGTCTTGGTCGATTGAATTCAGGAATGGGTATGTCCTCTTTTCATGGAATCCTTTTTCGGGTGGGTTTCAAGGGAATCCATTTTCACCCATTTTGGCGGGTCCACCATTTTGAGACAGCACAGGGAGAAGACACCCCAGTTCCTGCAACCAACCTATTTTTATAGGGAGGCTAAGGATGCAATGGTGTTTTGCTTACTGCACGCGCTATCAACAAACGGAAACAACGGGAGACACTCCTGGGTTCATCGAAGGCGACTGCGAAGATCAAGTTTGCCAGGGTGAGGCCCTGCAAGGTCCGATGTCCAGGATCACCAACATGGTGAGCACCTGCAAGGCCAATGGTTGTACTGGATACATCACTTGCTTCGGGTCATTTCGAGTTGGCAGCATCCCTGTCCAACGTAGAAATGGCCCTCGCCCCCAGCGACTTTGCTTTCCTACCGCCAAGCAGGACACTGACGCCAGAGGGTTTGTCGAGATGCGAGCTCGAGGGACTCGCTCCAGCCGGTGTTTTTTGCGCGAGGCCAGATCGCCGGCGCCTTCTACGGTATTGAGGGAATCGACCCCCGCAGGGAGGCCTGGCATTGA